CCCATTAACAGGTTTTATGGTGTTTTGGAAAGTTACAGGGTCAAATATAGAACGTTCCATTTTCAAATTGAAATTTGCCAGATTAGTAATGTTACCTTTGAGACGGTGTGGTAGCCGAGGAATGAGAATTACCCCCATAATGGCATACCATTTGAAAAAGTAGACAACCCAAGGTATTGAACGTGGGGTATGTTTAGTCTTTTTTAGTAGCCACTTAGTCACAAACACTGGCCAAAGTTAGCGTTCATATTTGTTTTTGTGTGAAAAAAGCAAAAAACTAATATTTGGCCAGTGTTTGTGACTAAGTGGCTACTAAAAATGACTGGACATACCCTATTTGCAATACCTTGGGTTGTCTACTTTTGCAATTGGTATGCCATCATCGGGGTAATTCTTATCCCTGGACTACCATACGGTCTCAAAGGCAACATAATCAATCTGGCAAATTTCAATGTAAAAAAAAATGAAATGCAAGCCTTATATGTGACTCTCTAACTTTCTAAAACACAATAAAACCTGTACATGGGGGTATTGTTATTCTCGGGAGACTTCACTAAACACAAATATTAGTGTTTTAAAACAGTAAAACATATTACAACAATAATATAGTCCATAAAAGTGCAGTTTGTTTGTAAAAAATGCAAAAAAACATCACTTTTACTTACAATATCATTGTTGTAATACAATTGACCAGTTTGAAACACTAATATTTGAGTTCAGCGAAGTCTCCCGAGTAAAACAGTACCCACTATGTACAGGTTTTATGGTGTCTTGGAGAGTTACAGTTAGACTTGAATTCTAGTTGTACCTTGAGATGTGTGGCAGATAACACTGTCAAAATGCTTACGTTTTGTTTTGATCAGAAGGTTACAGTTAAATTCTCTGCACTTTCTCCCTGTGTTGTCAGGCATGTCAATCAAATTTTAATTAATCAAATCACATAATTCTGTTAAAAGATTACTTAAATATACACGTAGAATTTTAATATATATGCATTTATAGGTATTTAAATCTTTTATGTAATTATAAGTATATATATATATATATATATCTGCAGTTATTTGTATTTTATATATAGATAGATATATATAGAATGTCATTCTAAGTGTATTTTGTTACCAATATATATATTAATAACAAAATACAGTTAGAATGAAATTACATATGAATATATAATTTATATTAAATTTTGTTTCAATATTTTATTTATTTATTTATTTTATTATTTTATTTATTTATTATTGTAATTATACGTATATATATATATATATATGTAATATATATGTATATATCTATTATATATATATAATATATATACATATTATATATATGTAACGCCATTCTAAGTGTATTTTAATACTAATATATATATACTAATATTAGTATTAAAATACACAACGTATGACGTTACATATATATATAATATGTATAAATATTATATATATAATATATATATATATATATATATATATATTATATATATATATATAAATATTTTTAATTGATTTTTAATTTAATTTAATTTATTGTAATTTATTTTTTTACTACTTCCCACCAGCAGGGGGACTGTCTGACATTTCAGACAGTCCCCCTGCTGGCAGATCCACAGCCAGCTATAGGGGGCCATATGATTGCTCTTTGAGAGCGATCACATGGCCCCCGGGGGCCTCACTTGCCAGAGGAGGGCTGTCTGGGCGGTCAGGCAGCGCTCCAGAAGAGGATCGCAGCGGAGGTAAGTAGCTGCGATCCCCTGGGACTCAAAGGCGTTACGGCGTTCTATGCCGCCGCAACGGTTTTAAAGCCCTTTAAAGCCGCGACGGCATAGAACGCCGTAATGGCATTAAGGGGTTAATATATAATATATAATATGTAATATGTAAACATAGATTATCTTACTTTCCCTCTTTTTTTCCCCTCTACTGGTCATTTTTCTTTTTTTTACCATCAATTTTCTCTATTTTTGATGCCACATCCAAAACTCTGACTCACATATCAAGGAAACCTGTTCGGCCATTGTCCATTCAGTTGTTTTGTGAAACACTCACTTCGTGCTTTGTTGCTACTGAATTTGCACAACACACCAATCATCCAAATTTCTGATGAAGTAGTTAGAAACCAAATACACAGGTTTACTACTGAGCGTACTAGTAATAGTAGTACTACTGAGCAACTAGTTGTACACTCCAGTATGATTCTCTATGTAAAACAAACTCAAAAGACGTTTAAAGTGATACTCTATTGTGTTAACCATTATACCTTTTTTTATTTTGTATCCAAACAATCTGATATGTGTATTTTCATTAACTCCATATGCCAAATTCTCATTTATTACACTGTAAATCATTAAAGCACCGGTACTTGTTTCTAATGGGAATTTATTACTATAAATGTTGCCTAATTCAAATATGGCAAAAAAAGACAAAAAACAGATTACTATTTCCTTGGATATATTTTTAATGAATGTAAAAACAGTGGCATAAAAATAAGATGAAACAAAATCTTTTGATCAAAGACTTCTCTTTACATAAGCCATACAAAGTGTGTGTTTCAGTAACAAAGCTTTCTGGTATTGTTTTGTCATTTTAATTACACTTCAGTCCTTACATTCTATTGTGATGATAACAGCAGAATGTTCTCTATTTGAAAATCTATCACTAATGGCTACAGTTATACCTTCATTCCCCTGCAAGAGACTGATCCTAGCAATGTATTGGCCATTAAATCTCTCTCTATTGTGGTTTCACCTTTCTCATAAGCTTTGAGGGCTTTGTTCCTGACTTATAGCCTATGGCAGTGGGTTGGGGAGAGGAGCCTTGGATGAGCTTGAGAACATAGAAAAAATTGTGAAACTAATTGAAATGACAAGGAATTATAGCTTGAAATTATATTTCTGACTATGTAGCGCATTGCATTTTACAGGATTTCATTGGAGTAAAATGCATAGTAAAAATATTTCATAGTGGACGAAGTGACATGAGTGTAAAATAAATGTCAGAGTTTACTTTGCGCAATACATGGAGCTTAATTGAGGATTGCATTTTGACAGTGTTATCTGCCACACATCTCAAGGTACAACTAGAATTCAAGTCTGGATTAGCATGAAATCATGTCTGCTTTTGATCTTGGATAGGAGCTTTGTTCTATGTCAAAAAAGGAGACAAATTGTTAAATTTTTAAATGTGTTATACAGACAGTGGAAGTTTTTAAAGTGACGCTTACATTTTATCAAAAACTCTCCACTAATGTTAGAAAAAAGGGATATACAGGTTTTAAAAAAAAAATATATATATTTATTTATTTATTTATTATTTTTTTATATATAAAGCTGTTCAACATAAGGGGACTCAAACTGCTTACTGCATAGTCATTAATTTGACAGATCAATATAACCATTTAATTGTTAGTTGGTAACATATTTCACTGTGCTGTAAAATACAGGGTACACTATACCAACAATACAACTGAAATTGAAATACACATATGGTAACTTTAGAGGTAATACCTGGGAACCCAAACATTTTTTTAATTTTTTTTTTTATTGAAATCCCTTTAAGACCTACTGATTAGTCATTTAAAAATAATTTTATTTACACACTTATTTTAAATATATTTTTTGCAGATTAACTGCAAGTTATTATGGATTTTATTACTGTGGAGTGTGTATGAATCCTCAGTTCTCAGAAAAAAGGACAAGTAAATAAGATTTACTGCATTCAGCCTTCATTAAAGGACCCTCCGATCATTATCATTTGTTCTGCAAAGTTTTTTTTACTATTCATACACACTTTTTGTAAAAAGATGTATGCTTACATGTGCTTTGCTTTAACCTTTAAATGCTTGTTACTTTATTGAAACGACTAAACATAACTTGATCAGTGGACAGCGACAAATGGAATGTCACAACCATGTAACTATACTGACATACCAACAGCTCAGTGTCCTTCTAAAACAGGTAAGGAGAGATAACGGTAGTGCATTCTGATGAATCCTACATACAAATAAACCTCTATGGTCATTGTATAGGTAATGTGTTTGATGTGTAATCTTTGCAATGTTTAAAAAATAATTCCCAGAACATTATTGGGGGGAGGGAGGGCAAAAGGGTGATAAAACATCAATCCAATTGTCCCCCAAAACAAGGACAGAAGGTACCTGTAGCAAGTGTGTTAAAAAATGATAAGTTTAGAGTCATGTCTACAAATGCTGGCAGTTTAGGGAATAAGATCCATGAACTTGTGGCAATAATGGCAACTGATAGTGTAGATTTAGTCACTGTTACTGAGACATGGTATAATGAGAAAAATGACTGGGACATAGCATTACCAGGGTATTCTTTATATAGAAAAGACAGGGGAGGCAAGTAAGGGGGAGGTGTGGCCCTGTATGTGAAGAATAGCATAAAATCTAGCCTAATAAAAATTAGTGAGGTGAACATAGAGTCCGTTTGGGTTACGTTAGAATTTGGTAATCACACAGTAACTCATGTAGGTGTGATTTATAGGCCCCCAGGACAAATTGAAGAGTTAGATAATCTACTAGTTGAGGAAATAGCTAAAATGACAATGAAGGGGGAAGTTATCATCATGGGTGACTTTAATCTTCCTGATGTAAATTGGAAAACAAAAATAGCTGCTTATGCCAGGAGCACACATATTCTAAACTCCCTCCTGGGATTGTCTCTAAAGCAAGTCCTTGAGGAGCCAACTCGTAAAGAAGCCATACTAGATTTAGTGTTAACAAATGGAGATTTGGTATCAGATATTACTGTAGGTGAAAGTTTAGGATCCAGTGATCATCAGTCAGTGTGATTTAATATAAGAACAGTGACTGAGTCACACTACACGAAAACAAAAGTTTTAGACTTTAGAAAAACAGACTTTTCTTAAATTAGAATATGTGTAAAGGAGTCATTATCAGACTGGATCAATTTAAATGGAGTCCAAGAGAAATGGGATTATTTAAAAGTTGCACTACTGAAGGCAACAGAAAATTGCATTAGGCTTGTCAGTAAAAGCAAAAAATTCAAGAAACCACTGTGGTACTCCGCAGATGTGGCCATAATAGTTAAAAACAAAAAGTTAGCATTTAGCATTTATAAAAAAAAAAACAGAGTGATGAAGACAAAATGATCTATAAGATTAGGCAGAAAGAGGCTAAGCAAGTTATAAGAGCTTCCAAATCACACACAGAAGAGAAAATAGCACAGTCAGTAAAAAAGGGTTACAAAACTTTTTTAGATACATAAATGAGAAAAGAAAAGTAAAACAAGAATTAGTTAGATTAAAAACAAAAGAAGGAAGGTATGTAGAAGAGGATAAAGGTCTAGCTGACTGCCTCAATTAATAATTTTGTTCTGTATTTGCAGATGAAAATGAAGGAAAGGGACCTCAGTTAAGAAAAAGGATAAATGAGTAAGTTATTACCCGTGAGTTTACAGAGAAAGAGGTTCTATTTCAACTGTCAAAAGTAAAGACAAATAAGTCAATGGGACCTGATGGAATACACCCACAGCTATTAAAAGAGCTTAGTGATGTACTAGCAAAACCATTAACAGATTTATTTAACCAATCATTGTTAACAGGAGTAGTCCCAGAATATTGGAAGTTAGCGAATGTTGTGCCCATTCACAAGAACGGTAATAGGGAGGAGTTGGGCAACTATAGGCCAGTAAGCCTTACTTCATTAGTGGGGAAGGTGATGGAAACCATGTTAAAGGATAGGATTGATGAACATCTAAAAACACATGGATTTCAAGATCAGCGACAACATGGGATTATTTTAGGGAGATCATGCCAAACTAATCTTACTGATTTTTTGATTGGGTAACTAAAATAATAGATCAGGGTGGTGCAGTAGACATTGCTTACCTAGATTTCAGTAAGGCTTTTGACACTGTTGCACATAGAAGGCTTATCAATAAACTGCAAACTTTAAGTTTGGATTCCAATATTGTTGAATGGGTAAGGCAGTGGCTGAGTGACAGGCAACAGAGGGTTGTAGTCAATGGAATATATTTGAAGCTTGGACTTGTCACCAGTAGGGTACCTCAGGGATCTGTACTTGGACCCATTATCTTTAATATTTTTATTAGTGATATTGCAGAAGGTCTTGATGGTAAGGTATGTCTTTGTGCTGATGATACTTAGATATGTAACAGGGTTTATGTTCCAGGAAGAAGAGGCCAAATGGCAAATAATTTAGGTAAACTAGAAAAATGGTCAGAATTGTGGCAACTGACATTTAATGTGGATAAGTGCAAGATAATGCATCTTGGACGTAAAAACCCAAGGGCAGAGTACAGAATATTTGATAGAGTTCTAACCTCAACATCTGATGAAAGGGGTGATTATTTCAATTTAGGGGTGATTATTTCTGATGACTTAAAGGTAGGCAGACAATGTAATAGAGCAGCAGGAAATGCTAGCAGAATGCGTGGTTGTATAGGGAGAGGTATTAGCAGTAGAAAGAGTGAAGTGCTCATGCCATTGTACAGAACACTGGTGAGACCTCACTTGGAGTATTGTACACAGTACTGGAGACCGTATCTTCAGAAGGATATTGATACCTTAGAGAGGGTTCAGAGAAGGGCTACTAAACTGGTTCATGGATTGCGGGATAAAACTTACCAGGAAAGGTTAAAGGATCTTAACATGTATAGCTTGGAGGAAAGACGAGACAGGGGGGATATGATAGAAACATTTAAATACATAAAGGAAATCAACACAGTAAAGGAGGAGACTATATTTAAAAGAAGAAAAACTACCATAACAAGAGGACATAGTCTTAAATTAGAGGGACAAAGGTTTAAAAATAATATCAGAAAGTATTACTTTACTGAGAGGGTAGTGGAATAGCCTTCCACCTGAAGTGGTAGAAGTTAACACAGTAAAGGAGTTTAAGCATGCGTGGGATAGGCATAAGTCTATCCTAACTATAAGATAAGGCCAGGGACTAATAAAAGTATTTAGAAAATTGGGCAGACTAGATGGGCTGAATGGTTATCTGCCGTCACATTCTATGTTTCTATGTTTCAATGTTTCTATTATAACATTCCACCATGTACATTTACCTCTATCTATCTATCTATCACAATGGACAATTCAAGAACACAATTATTAGAAAATAATAACAAAACAGATTCTCACTTGAAGCTATATTTTCATTAAAACTGTTGTATAATAATACTAATAATAGTAATACTAAATACATTTAACAAGAAATTCTATGTCCAATGACAGTGGGAATTTTAGTTTTTGACAAATAATTACTGTAATTATATGGTAGGGCGCTGACCTGCTCAGATAAAAATTAACTTATGCTGTAAGGAAAACTATTTTGACATAGAAACTCAATAAATTTGTAAAGTAGAAAGTGGTTTACTTAGAATATTCTTGTATAAATTATCTCGGTGTAAAGGAAGTATCTTCACAACAAGTTTACACTATCAGATAGTGTTATATTAATGGAACACTATAGTGTTAGGAAAACAAAACTATATATCTAACACTATAGTGACCCTCTGCCTCCGCTCCTCCAAAGCCACCCAAGGCCATGAAAGGGTTAAAAACACTTAAAATTTACTTACCTGAATCCAGCGCAGAGGTCCCTTGACATTGCTTTGGGCTCCTCCTCTGACGCAATGCGATCTGGTAACCTAATGCGCATGTATGATGAGTGTTGTGCGAACATTAGGCCTTCTCCGTACTATTTTGATAACATAGTGTCATGGGTATTATTTTTTAACATGCAGATTTAATTGGTCTTATTAAAGAAACAAATATGAAACTCTCTTTTTCTACAAGTGTGTTGATAAACTTTAGATTTGTATCTAAAAAGCAGAGAGGGAGAGATGCATCATGAAGATAATAGCACAGATAATACATTTATTGAAAAAAAAATCTGTGTAATTATAGTAAAACAATAAAAAAAATAAAATGTGAACGAATGACCTTGTGCACCTTTCTCCCGATGTCCACATCATACACAGAGAAAATATGCTCCTTGCCTTTTGATTTCTGATCTCACGTGTCTTCATTGGTTGGCATTAATGCTGTGAACGATAGTTAGCAGTTCTGCTGCTTTTGACCTCATCAACATCAGAAGGTACTTTAAATCTCAGTCATCTTTGACAGCCTTTGAGCATAGAGAAGAGACAGTCTTCCTGACACAAAGGCTTCTGGCCTGGGGTATAAAATTCCTTTTGAAAAAGAAGAAAAACACATTGAACACTCCACAGACGATGCTGATTCGTATTCATGGTTGAAAATTTAGTTCATCAAGTGCAAAGCCTTATTTGCTTTCAACCAATAGATACAAGAATTTTGCAAATCGGGCTTTGGGTTCTGTGGGTTCCTCGTTTTGGTTCCTTAACATATGAGCAAAGAAAAAACATATGAGGAAAGAAAAAAGGACATGGGTTATATTAAACAGTTAATTAGGGTTTCTTGTATGAAATACTATCTCTCATCTTTATGGATATTTAACATCAGCCTAAGTAAATGAGCATTTGTTTGATCACAGCTTATGCCGGTTGTCAGAATAAGCATTATATAATACATAAAGCACAAGCTGCAAGGCTAGAACAACACTTTTCGGTGCAGCCACAAATTATCATTCCGTTATTGCAATCCAAGCATCTTTACCATAATGTTTATGAGATGCAGGAGGATATTTTCATCTTGCTCCTTTCGTCATCTCTAGATACCAAGCACTTGTATCTAGAGATGAAGAAAGGATATGTATCATTGAAGGATGTGTATCATTGTAAATATGTAGATTTTATTTCAGGGCGAAATTTCCCTTTGTTTTCAATTTATAAATCCAGTATAAATTGTATCCCTCTGGATTCACTAGGTATGCAAAATTGAAAGAACTGATTTGGGGTGAATTCTTGGCTTTAGATTTTTTTGATGAAAAAAAAGGTTCTCTATTGCATAAATACATATAGAGCAAAAAAATAAAACAAACACGTAGATAAATATTGTTGGGGATACACTTCAACCGCTTCAGTTGCATCTACAAGTACAATTTAAGTAGCATTCATCATTCAAACAAATTTTGAAGATTTACCACTTCGCATTCAGAATAGCAGGTGTTTTGTCTTGATCAATCTCATCCTATATATTTTAAAGAGTCATGTAGTTGGCTATTCTAGAAAATATATAGAATAATTAAGATTGTGGTACTGTTACATTATTGTTGTCAGGTCATAATACACATTATCCACTCAGAGCCAGATTAAGTTTACCCAGGGCCCTAGGGAGTATGCCAGAATGAGTGTCACCTCTTGCCATGGGCTCTGTTTCTGTAATTGTTGTGTGTGTGTGTATGTGGGTTGTGTGTGTAGAGGATGCAAACTGTAGTAGGTGGAAGACTGTATGTGTCTCTGTGTGCTGTTTGAGTATTGTGTGGCTAAGTCTCATGTGTTGTGTCTGAATGTGTTAGGGAAGGATGTTAAATGTGTGTATGTAAGTTTTTCATTAGCCCCCATCCTGCTTATCTTTTGGATGGAGGGTGTAATCTCTTTTGGGTCAGTGGAGGGCACACTGGGCAGGTATATCTGTGGTAGTTTGGTGGGTAAGCATTGCGGTCTGGACCAATATTAAATACATATCATTTTAAGAGCTCCCTTTCAGTCCTCTAGCACTCAGTTAATGACTCATAGTGCTGGCTGCTGTGCTCTGAGTCATTTAAAAGTGCTGTGTTCGGGTGCGAGCCTGACCGTAATAGTGACTGGTTGTGTTTCATGAGAGCTCCTTGAGAGGCACCTCATAAACCTCACATTGAAGCTGATCTAGCTATAGCTCTCCAGATGGCCCTATCTATTATTCCTACCATGACAATGGACCGGTCTGGAAATGCATCCTGCAGTTTGCAACTTTTGCCAAGAAGCCATTACACATCCGAGGCCTTGTGAGCACAGAAGCACAGAGGAAGGGAGAGGGCCACTCTCCTGTACCAACACAGGCTCTGTGGACTCTGGCTTATGACATGTTTATCCCCCCCCCTCTGGACCAGTGGTGGTCCTGGTCCCCACCCTGGCAACTATGCTCTGAGGCAGTGTCTCAGTCATCGATACATACTGACTCCCTAAAAGGAAAGCCTGACATCTCACAGCAGCTGGACAAACTATTTGAGGTCTTCTGGAGGAGGTTCGGAGACAGGATACCCTCATCGGTTCAAGGCTTTGTACCCATGACATGAATA